TAAAATATAGGTATGGGCTTTCTTGTTGGGATACCACGCTTATGATTCCACGTATGCTGAGAGGGAATATCTTCAATCCATGAAAAGATCCGAGTATTTGACAATAAAGAACCAGTGGCAGGTTTATCATAAACCCTCTCCTTATTTCTTTTTTCTTTTCGTTTTCTACTGAAGCTAGAAGGCTACATGAAATTGATAACTGTATTCTTCAGAGCAGTCTGTTTGTGAACGATCTTATCACCACAGTTTCAATTATCCCAAAAAAAAGTACATATCCAATTTCAATGATTAAATGAAATGTACAAAAGGGTAAAATTTATCCATAGAGATTACAAAAAAAAAAAAAAAAAAAAAAAAAAAAAAATGACGGTCTATATTGTATACTTCATTCAAGATATCCTAGTGATTAGTCCATCAATCACAAAATATAATTGAATCTTTTTCAAATTTTTATGTAGTGGGACCTTTGTTCCATGGCATTCTCTGTAGGTTATCTTGACGAATTCATTCTACTAGGCGTAGCTTTGTAAATAAAAAAATTATCCTTTCTCCCTTGACCCGCTAAGTGAAGTGTATCTCTGTACTATATTTCTTTTTCTTGCAGAGTATTTCCCCGGAGCAGGCAAAAAGATTTACAAAATTTAAAGAGAGGAAAGGCCTTATTGAAAAAGATGTGGTAGGTGTATTAAATTGATATACTTCGTTTTTCTTAATTGGTTATTAATTAAATTTGATTTTTTCCATTTCTAAGTATTTCTTTTTAATCTTTTCCCAAGGTGAGGACAGACCGATCACTTTCTTTCTTTGATGGGGATGAAAACCCTAATGTGAAGCTTCTTCACGATATTTTATTGACCTACTCATTTTATAATTTCGATCTTGGATACTGTCAGGTATTTCTTTTTCCCTTTGCCTTATAGTTATAGTTCAGGCATCAAGGACATCACTTGTGCTTGAACTTACCTTTTCCTTGAACCAAGCTACTAGGGTTTAAGGAAGAGTTTAAATTTCAAGTTCACATTGCTTGTGCTGCCTAACTGTAATATGGCTGCATATGAAGTCGTTAGATCTAGATCTGAATTCTAAATGTTGGCAACGATATAACTACGATTTTTGAAGTTTAGGTGCTTCCTAAATTCTATCATCTATGTGGCTATAAATATGTACTATATGATGTCTAGGAGACTAAGACTATTCTGATACCTAGTTCAACCTTTGTATATCATATGCAAAAGTAGGTTAGAGCTGGTGTTGGAATGAGCTTGTTTTTGTTGTTTTCTCTTGTTGGCTGCTATTGTTTGCAGGCTTCTTTATGCTGTTATTTCGCATTTCTTAGAGCTGATTTTCTTAAGCCGGTTAGAGAGCTAGAGTACGTATTATTTATTAATAGTCCTGTCTAAGGGCATTGCATTGTCGCAAGTACATGTGTGCAATAGAAAATTGAACTTCCTAGATGGAGGTGTAAGTTATAAAGTCAAACAGTTGCATCGTCTTAGGAACTAGATCAAATATAAAGAAAAGAATGAAACAGTGGAAATGGTAACTTCTGGATTTCATGCACTGGAATTCGTAGGAACCTTGAAATGGAAAGTACTCAACAGAATTCAAATAAATTTCACAAACCTTGATGTTCTAAATTTCTACCTTCCATGTCTTTTAACTGGGTTTTTAATTATACTTGGAATACATTGTGCTTTTGTTAACTGGAAAATAAAATGATCTTACAACATGGTTATCTTGGTTTAAAACTCTTCTCATAGTACCCAAAAGTGGTTATTGTTCTTTGGTATGCAAAAGTTCTATCAGACTTTTTAAATGGACCTATTCAAACCTTTGTATATTTTATTTTGAATCGTTTATCCTGGAATTAATATGTAAGACTTGTTTATGTTGTCCATTTAACAACGATCATCAAATTGTAATGTATGGAAGTTATATCATTTTTATTTATTGACATTTGAAGAGATTTTTCTTCAATTTTCTATACACCAGGAAGATGGAAGTTTGTTTTAGTTGTGTTTTTTTTTTTTACACCGTTTTTCATGTATTAAAATTGCTTTGGCGAATTATTCTGTAGTACTCTGTGTCAATTTCCATGTCCAAACTTTTATTAAATCAAATGGCCACAGATCAAATTCCATTGGTTCAACTACTTTGAACTGTTGCTGATTTTACCATGATAATTTACAGGGTATGAGTGATTTTCTTTCACCAATATTGTTCGTTCTGGGTGATGAGTCGGAGTCATTTTGGTGTTTTGTTGCTCTAATGGAACGCCTTGGACCAAATTTTAATCGTGATCAGACTGGCATGCATTGTCAACTTTTTGCAATTTCCAAGGTTCCCACCTCCCCCTACGTGTACTTCATTGCATGCGCATGCAAATTGCATTCACGCTGTCTATATATATAATGGTTAGGAAAAATATTGCGCAATAAAGTTGCTTGGTTTTCATAAAAAAAAAAACAAATAAATAAAGTTTCTTGATTTTTATTTATTATTTAAATTTTAAGTAAACGGTTTCCTGTTGGTACTTGGTTTTAGTGGAGAAATGTGCATGCGATTTTATTTGCTGTCGATAAAGGAAGTTGAGACAACACGATGTGTAGCCCTTGGTGTATGTTTTGATGCCCTCCTTTTGTTTTTATACGTTTTCAAATGTTTATGTCAATTGGAAGAGCTCTTTTAATCTTCTTGTTTGAGATTTCTTTCGCTTATCTGGATCTCCCTTTTCATTACTTTTATTTTTATTTTTATTTTATTTTATTGGAACTTTCTTGGTTTCTGTAAAAAAGCATAAGAATCTTCTCTTTTTTATCTAGCATTAACATTTCATCTTCTGAATAAATTACATAATTTATTCATTGTTCATTATTTATTTTTAAAATTTTATTTACGAATATTTGACTTTATTTAATAAGAAATGTTAATAGTTTTTTTTTTTTTTTTTTTTAAATGCAACGATATGTTTAAATTGTGTCATTTTCTTTCCTAATTCCTTCTGCTATGTCTTTGGCAGCTGGTAGAGTTGTTAGATACCCCATTGCATAACTACTTCAGCCAGCATGATTGCCTGAATTATTTCTTTTGCTTCCGCTGGGTTCTCATACAGTTCAAAAGGTCAGGGCTCATATCACCTATGTTTACTTTTTTATTTTTCCTTTTTAGACGGGAAACTTGGTTATATTCTTACCCGGATCAGATTCTTTCTAAATCGTTGTACAGTTATTTCTCCACTATCCTCGCATTTGTTGTTTGCCTGTCATTAGTATCTGTCCAGCATCTTTTTAGTTGGCCCTAACAGGCCATCCTGCCTGAAGTGCCAAGAAGTGATTGCATAGTTTGGTTAAAAAATTGTCCCAGTAGTACTTAGAAAACCAAGTTCGACAACATTTTTGTTAAAAAGTTTCTTCCCTATTCTCCATTCTTCGTTTGAAGAATTTGAAAATATTTGATCAAAGAGCATAATGGTATTTGTAATAAGAGATTGATTCCAGACCCCTAAAGAGTTTTTTTTTTGGGGGTCGGCAACAATCTGTAGGCAATTCATAGAATGGAAACGGACAGGGCCTATTCTTACTTGATTAAACTACCCCTGAACGTCAGCATCGTAAATATATTCGATTTATCAGATTTAACTGAATCTCATGCTACAAATTTTCTGCTCGTAATTTAGCTGGCATCCTTCTTAGGAAAGGCCAAGCCACCACTTTGTATCATGGGCTAATTTCATACTTATAAAATTTCTTTGAGTTGTACCATGTGCAGGTGTTGTATTATCATTTTAATAGTTCTATATCTCATTTTATGGTAAAACACTTCTATTGGTAGTGAATTAGTTTCTCGTGTGTTCTTTCTCTTAATTATCTTGCTAATATGTTCCTCGTTCACATACAGAGAATTTGAATACGAAAAGGTCATGCATCTATGGGAGGTATTGTGGACTCATTATCTGTCTGAGCACCTGCATCTGTACATATGTGTTGCGATCTTGAAGCGCTACCGTAACAAGATAATGGGGGAGCAAATGGACTTCGACACACTCTTGAAGTTTATCAATGAATTGAGTGGTCACATTGACCTTGATGCTGCCATTAGGGATGCAGAGGCTTTATGTGTGTGTGCTGGAGAGAATGGTGCTGCTAACATCCCTCCTGGAACCCCTCCCTCATTGCCTCTTGATGATGGTTCATATTACATTCAACAAGATGAAGTCCTGTAGAGATATTCATTCCGTTCCTCGTTGCTTAACAAGCTCTGGTAGTCCAATATATTGGAAAACAGAGAATTGCATATCTGTTAAATAGCTTAATTTTGTAGGAAAGTGTGGATTTTAAAAGTTCGGGTGGTATCAATCTATCATATTATATAAATGTTCCATGATATCTGATGGGCAGGCTTTCATATTATTGTTCATTCAACTTTCACAAGGAAGTGCACCCAAGCATTTCACCTAAACTGGATAGGTCGTTCTGTGTTCCCCAACATTTTACCACTTCCTTTGTTTTATACTTATATTGGAAATAATGATATCTAGAATATGAAGATTGTGTTCAACTACCGTGCTGTAAAATTGTGTAGACTCCATATTGCTGTTAGCAAATGCTTTTTGAAAGTGCAGTTCTGATTGCTAGGTAGCCAAGTGTAGTGACAAGTAGCTCAAAAAGTACAGGAAAAGATTGCTGGAATTTAAAGCTTGGTTCTGAATGTTAAAAGAGGTGGCGGACTTACTATCATACTGGGTTGAAAAGAATAAGGATTTTGACAATAAAAGCCTCTACCCGAACAGGGGGTTTCTCCAATCCTAGAGAATTATGAGTTACATGTTATCCAGTGATGCATGAACACTACTGCATCCAAATGCTTCTAACAGGAATAAGGGATCGAGGTGGTCAAAGTAAGGTTCGTCGTCAAAATTAAATGTCGCGTCATTTGCATGTACTATTGGAGAGTTTATATTATAATGAGAACTTGTTATGTCATCCATATTCCAAGGTTCTGTAACTTCTCTGTTCTCTTCCTGGTTTCTTCTCTGTGTATCATGAGCCAAATTTATCCCGTTGTCAATGCATATTGGTGGCTGAGGATAACAAGTCTGATTGATAACTTTCTTCTGCTTCTTATTATTCACATCATCATCGTTGTCGTCGTCATTTTTCATGTGGCTATTTGAGTCATTAGCTTTTCTTTTATCTTGCAGGCCATTCTTGTTCAAATGGGTATTCCAGTAGTTCTTCACCTCGTTATCAGTTCGACCAGGAAGCCGACCAGCAATCAATGACCATCTGATTCAAGAAGTAACACGTTGAAAATATCCAAACATTCAGCAAGTTGTCTCTCTTCACTGTAAGTATGGATTAAGCTTTTGAGGGGTTTAAGCAATACAAACTGACCTGTTGCCTAAAAGTTTATGCATACGGATAATTAGATCCTCTTCCTCTTTGGACATCTCCCCGCGTTTTATATTAGGCCTGAGGTAATTCTTCCATCTTAGCCTGCAACTTTTCCCACCTCGCATCAAACCTGAGAGGCAAGGGAGGAAAGCTCACACACTCACACATGAATGAAAACTCTAATTCCTGATATATGTGTAACATTTTTAAAAAACTCCATCCATCGTGCTATAGAGTTTTGAGAAAGATGAATATAGTAGCGGATATAGAAATGACTGGCACATTTTATATTTGTTATTAGACATTTTTGTAGCCAAATTTCTTACCTGATTCCTGGGAGACAGTCGCCCAATTCCCTTCGCCATGAGTTTCCACATAGTTTCTGAGGATCAAATCTTCTTCTGGTTTCCACAAATTTTTCTTCAGCTGTTGCTTCATCTCTTTACTCTCCTCCATCACCTTTTTTCCTCTTTCAGGTTGGTGACAATACATTTACAGGATGCAATGATGACAACTATGATTGGATTCTTCCTATATATGACAGCAAAATGGGCACCCAGCACTGTCAAATATTACTCGCAGAATGTTGAAATGGTGGGTCACGCATGCATCATCATTGCTCTCTTTGCGCTGGCAGATTGACGTGCGGGCCCTGGTTTGCTAAAAGCGTATCTGCCTGCTTCTCAATCAAGACAGGTAATTCTCTCTCTTCTTGGTGAAGATTATTGATACCAGTTGCTAAAATAATAATATTTGTGGAGTTCGGAAAAAAAAAAAAAAAAAAGAAGAAGAAGAAGAAGAAGTTTAGTTCTTGCTCTTATTGACAGGAGTCGTTTAATTACAAAATAGTTTCACTATAAAATGTGGCTCATTTGATTGAAAACAAGTTATTACCCAATTTTCAAATATGGAAAGATTTTCACAATTTTTTTTTTTTTTTTTTTTTGGTGTGTTTTTTTACTTGGCTGGGATTGGATGTCTTTAAAAGGTATATTCAACCAAAGATTTGTGAGGGGTTAATAAAAATTAAAAAACCACAAATTGGTATGAAAATTTGAAAAAGAAGCTCAATGATTGTTCTGTGAGGATGGATTTTTTTTTTTTTTTTGGTGTGTTTTTTTACTTGGCTGGGATTGGATGTCTTTAAAAGGTATATTCAACCAAAGATTTGTGAGGGGTTAATAAAAATTAAAAAACCACAAATTGGTATGAAAATTTGAAAAAGAAGCTCAATGATTGTTCTGTGAGGATGGATTTTTTTTTTTTTTTTTCTTTTTTGGTAGTTTACTTATAACTTCTCGGTTTACGTGAAAATTGGATTATTTCTCATTGCTTGGCTTCTAGTTTGAACGATAAAAATGACAGTTTTCCCTTCTTTTATATATACACACAGACAAAACGAATACTTTGTTTTTGACTGTAGTTTTTTTATTTTGTTTTGTAAAACAATTTTAAAAAAAGTTATTTGGATTTTGTATGTATATCTTACTGTGCTTTTCATGTAATTGTTCATATAGGTTATATTTCAAGTTTTCTTTTAAAGTTTCACTCTTTTTGTAGTTTGATCCTTTTTTTATCGCAGGGCATGGACTTGTGACTTCTTAATGAAATTTAAAGATCAAAAAAATTAGAACGACAAGAAGAATAGTAAAAAAAAAAAAAGAAGATAGAATGACGACAATGAAATTTTGGACCCTTTGATTTTGATTGTAGGTGAAGTGGAGGGAGGAAGGTACTGTAGGTACTCTACCTGGAGGCTTAAGTATTTAGCAAGCGTTCATGAGTGAGGCACTCGGAGAACAACAATGCAGCAGCAGCAGCAGCAGCTTTTGTTGGGGAAAGCAAGCAGGCGATTGGGTACAAGTTTGAAAAGAGAAATAATTGAAGTTTTCTGTGTGTCATTGGGGCAGGCATTGGTACTGCGACAGAAGAGACTGATATGATTTCTCACATTGTCTGCCATTTTTTCTATTTGATTTATCTATCTGCCTGCAGGCTGCAACAGGGCGCTATTGTAAAGATTCCACATCCATTCACCTACACTGTGCCTGCCCTCATCACTCTCAGCTTTTTCCTTTTGCATATCTGCCTGTCTCATGCTTCTCCACCAGGTACACGCACACTCCCTCCCTACACACCCGTTTCACTATTTCCACTTATCTTTCTCGTTTCGAAATTGTCTGTTTTTTACTTCGTTTTTTTGTCCCTTATTTGAAAGAGGGGGAAGGGATTTTGTTAACTATTTCTTGTTTATGGTTATTTTCTTTTCAAATTTGTGTCTAAAAGTCCTAAATTTTAAATTTACTATCGGTTGTGTTCAAAAGGTTCTCTTTTAACTTTTAAAATGTCTAACACTTTCTTAAACTTTTAGTTTTGTGTAGTTTGGTGAGTATGTGAAGGATCTACTCCGTTCTTGCTTTTTAGTTTTTGTTTTTGTTTTTGTGGTAAGAAATAAAGTGTCACAATGATTTGGTCTCTGTCTATTTCTACTAATTTCTACTAATTTCTATATCTCTATCTCATACTCTTTTTCAGTTTAAGTGCATTTTATAAAAGCAAGGCCATGTAAAAATTGATTTCCATTTAAAATAATAAAAAAAAAATCGCTTTTTCTTGTCCTGACTTCCTATATATGCGGTCATGCTTAGTGCTCTGACTCTCTCCACTTTCTCTGACTTCATCTTTGACTGCCATGTGTTTCTCTCTATGATTTAAATAATCTTCTTAATCCAAATGTGTTTTAAAGGGCTAAAATAGACTTTTAATTTTTTTTTTTTTTTTTTTTTAGTTATATTTGTTTTTTGTATTCTTATTTAGAAAATTACGCTTGTTTTTGCTAAAAATAATTAGTTCAATTTTTTTTAATTATTTTATTTTAGTATCATGGATAAATGATGTAATTGTATAATTATATAATAGGTTATAATTTTATTTTATATTCCCGAGTGCTGAAAATAATTGAACAACAGTACGGAAAATATATATAAGAAATTTGGTGCACCTAGAATTCAACACCAATAAAAAACAGGTAGCAACTTTTAGGAAGTAAGAGCACAAATTCCCAAGCTTAAATGAATGATTGGACAGAATTTGGGGTGTTTGGGGCTGTGATTCCTTCCACTTTTTCCTATTATTATTATTTTTTTTTTCTTTGGGTAATTTGAGATTCCCTCTCTGCAAAAGTTGGAAGGCAAAAACTGCTATCATTCTCAAATCAAACCCTTTCATCGCAGCCCCCATCGGATCATGTATTGAAACAAATTCCAAAAGCCTTACTGTTCAATGTTTATGCTACATTGATTATGATCGTTGTGTATCATTATCATGGTGATATGTAGTTAGGCGGAGAGAAGTGTAAATTGAAATTCTTCCATCATTTCTTGCTTAAATTCTGATGGTTAGTTTTAAGTATGCAACTTAGTTGAGCTATGTTGTCTTTTTGTCTTGCATAAATAGGCACACGTGTGCACCTGGACCCACGCGCGCACACGTACACAGAAGTCACAACTTCCCATGCACTTTGCTTATTATCAAAGCAAGCTTTTTTTATTATTTTTTTTTTTATTTTTGGGTACTTGGTGATGTCAACACCACTTTTGCTTCAAAATTAGAGGACAAGTTTTGGTTCATGGTGTTGTTGGGAATTTTGGGATCAATTAGAAGAATAATGTTTTGGTTCTTGGTGTTGGTAGAAATTTTTGAATCAATTAGAATAATGATGTCATTTAAAAGACCAAAAAAAAAATAAAAAAAAAATAATAGATATAATCATTTATTGTCTATCACATCAATATCATTTAATAATTATATGATGTTTACAAAAGAAAAAATAGATTTCTTTTCCTTCTAATACATGTATATACCACTCTTAAATTCATCTTATTTTAATAATAGAATATTTAGAAGTGATTTCAAGATGGTTAAAATCACTTTTTTCATCTACAAAATTACTTTTAAACATGTTTACGATGATTCAAAATCAATTTTCACTTAATCAAATACGGATTAATTTTAAATATATATACAAAATTATCGTAATTAGTTTAAGTAAATATACAATAACCAAAATGAAAAGAAAGGAAACTTCCTTTATAATAATTTAATTTCATGAAACTTTCACACATCTTTATATTGTTTGATGTTGTTTACTTATTTTTTATTCTTATAATTGTAATTTATTTTTCATTTTTCGTATTTAGAAGTTTGGTTATCGTTGGCATAATTGGATTGAAATTTATTCTATTTTAATTTTCAAACTTAGTTTTTATAAATTATATAAAATATATGGTTAAATTATATTTTTCTTTTTGCTTTTTTTTTCTATATTAATTATATTTTTTTTATAAATATTTAACTAGGTAAAACTTCAATTATTTATGACCAAAAGTGGAATCATTTCACACGTAATTAGTCTTAGAATATTAAAACAATTTAATAAATATAAAATATTATTATTATTTATTTAGTGAATCTTTTTTTCTTTTTCTTGGGGCCCATTTGCCAAGATTTAGGGTTTCCTTTTCCAACTTTTTTGCAATAATAATAATGTAATTAAAAAAATAAAAAATAAAAAGGTGATATTCGTGCCTTTTCTTTTAAATATTTGTGGGGTTTTTTTAATTTTAAAATACAGGTTAAATCCTTTAATTTTTGTTAATTTTTTTGTTAATTTTCTCTTTTAGTCTCCTTTAGAATCTCAAGTTCTATTATTATATTATTATAGTTTATAATATATATATTTGAAATAATACAAAATTTTAAAAGTGAGGGGATATTCGTGCTTTTTTTAGCTTCCAACGATATATTTGTAAAATTTGAGTTAATAATATTTCATCCTCGAGACCATATCATAATCGTGTTTGATACCAAATTCCGAAATTAAATCTCAAATTAAAGAATCATTTGATAATATACTCGTAAGTCATAAAACTAATTACAATTACCCGATAAACAATCAAAACTTTGAGATATTTAAATCTATAGTTGCCAATATCATATCATTGTAAATATATATAGCGAGTCCAAAAATCAAAATAAACGATCCTAACCATGAAATATCATATTATTCACGAAGTTTCGGTCTTAATTAAATTCACAAAAAAATACTCCAATCACTATCTTCATTAATTTTTTATTGGACCAAAAACTAACATTGACTTGGAACTTCATTAACCATAATAAATATTAAAATTCTTTTTTTTTCTTTTATATTTGTTTTAAATAAGTTTTCAACATTTTGAAGCCACTCAACCACAAATTAAAAAAATATTTATTTATTTATTTATTTATTTTTCAAATTTATGAGAAGCCCCATTTCAGCAAAATTAAGAATGGAGAATTTATTTTTTTGAAATTTCTCCATGGAAAATACACACCCAATTTCTTAACAATAAATTTGGTCAAAAATTTTAAATGCCATTATTGACATTTTTTTTTATATTAACAATTTGGATAACTATTTTATTTTTTTTAAAAAAATTGTGTTTATTTTCGCCATTATTCCACGACGACGACGACTTGAGTAGTGTTCGGGAACCAAGCTTGCTTAGCCACTAGCTTATTAATGCGAAGACTCTTTTGGTTGATTGCTTGATTTCGTCAATAAATGCATCGTTTTCTTGCTTGTTGTACTATTGCACTTGACATAGTCGTCAATGTTTTCTTTGTTGGATTAGATTCTCGATCCACCAACTATCTGAAATGTTGGCAAAAAGGGTTTTATCATCCAAAAAAACGGACGGTACTCAAGGCCAAATAATACCTGCCAGAGATTGAACTCGTCTCGAGAATGGTCAATCATTTAATAATATGTGTTGGAAAAAAAAATCAACCAATCTCTCCTGTCTGATTGGCTGTGGAATTATTCCACGCTTGTTAACATAGACCAGCATGTAGACAATAACACACTCCCATCATTCTAGATAAAAACGAAATGGTCTGATTAGAACCGTTTAGAAAAATGTCGATCCATACGGAATAGACAGTTCCTCCCGATATATTCACGATACGATAAAATCACGCTCCACGATACGATATGATAAGCGGTATAATGAGATAAGTGCAAAAGGTCATATCTTATTTTAGAATACGTCTCTTACACGCTTGTTTTTTAATGGGCCAAAAAGTCATTGAAAGTGAGAAAATATTACTCTACTCGCGCGAGTACGGAATGTTGGCACTCGCCTGTTTTAGAGGTGTTACGTGTCACTTCACCTACCTCAAGTGGGTTTGATTAATAATTAATATTTCAACTTTTTTTTTAATGAAAATTAATTGTTATATTCTAATTTTAAGAAATTGTTTTTCAATCACAATATTAAAAATTATTTATTGAATTTTATTAATCATGGGACTCTTTTTTTTCTTTAATTTCCATTAGTTTCTTAAATTTTAAATTACTTTTATTTTTCTATGTCAATATATTATAAAAGTATAGATACAATATGTCTATTAATTATAATTATATAAACTTAGCTAAATTAATTTAATTAAAAATATAATATGAAATTAATGAATATAATCTATTCTTATAAAATTAAAATTGATCAAACAAAACAAACAATTAATATATTAAAACGATATACAAAAGAAAAATATTTAAATAATATATTAATTTTTTTGTCATTTTGTTGGAAGACTATGAATAATCTCATTAAATTTAGACAAGTAGCTATAGCTACCTGAACTTTTCGTGACACGTAAGACATTTTTATATTAAAATTTATTCATATTTGATGTGGAGGCAACTCGATAATCTTTTTTTTTTATTGTTTTTGACATCATTAATAATTATGTCGACGATTTAATCATCAAAATCACGCTAAATATGTAGCTGATTAAATTTTACCATAGAACTTAGGTATTAAAAAAAATGATTCCTAACTTTTAAATTTTCTTGTGTATCCAACTTTATAAATCATAATGTTTTTGAAAAAATATGCAATATTGTGATTTATAAAATATGGAAAAAGAAGGGAAAGAAAAAAAAAAGTAAAGATAATCCAAAATCAATAATATATTTATAAATTAAAATCCCAAAAGATTACTTTTATTTATTTATTACAAAATTCAAAATGAATAATGACCATTTTTAATTTTCTTTACCTATATTAATTTAATTCCCACCTTTTTTTTCCGTTCATTATAAATATATATATATATATATATATATATATATATATATATATATACGTGTTTTTTAAATTTAATAATTAAAATTTAAAAGTTTGAAAAATAAAATAAAAAATAAAATAATGATAAAAATTTAGACAAGTGAAAAAGATATAAAGTTATTTCTTTGAAATTTATATATATTTAGTCTTTAAAATTTTAAAATATCTTAACATTTTAATTTGTTGTGAAATAAATACCCACAAATTTTAAATTTTAATTAATCTATTAAATTTAAAATATTTTTTATTTAGTAAGTCCATAAATTAAAAAAAAATTAATTTAAATTTATAATTTAAAAGTTCAATAACTAAAATCTCAAAATTAAAGAATAAAATTAGTAAAATTAATCATAAAATAAATAATAAAAATGAGAAAAAAAAAAGCAATAAATAAAAGTCAGAACTGACGAAGTGACAGTGAGCGGTGCTGGATACGACGTCGTT